CTCTTGTAGACCAGGCTGGTCTCGAACTCACAGAGATCCTCCAGCCTCTACCTCCTAAGTGCTGGGATTAAGGGCTGAGCCACCACAGCCTGGCTTCACACAATCTATTTCTTAAAACTTTTGGTCACTGGGTGGTGGTGGCCCATGCCTTTAATCCCAGAACTTGGGAGGCAGAGGCAGGTGGATCTCAGTGAGTTCAAGGCCAACCTGTTCTACAAAGTGAGTTCCAGGACAGCCAGGGCTATTACAAGGAGAAATCCTACCTCAAAAAATAAAAAAGAGCTTTTCAGTGTTAGTTGCTGGGGGCGAATAAAACCCAGAGGGAAAGAGGAATGAAAGGAAAAGGGAGAGGTGAGGGGGGCAAAGTTTCCATTTGAGAAACTTCTGGGAAGCAGAGATTAAAGTGGGAAGCTGGGGGGGGGGGGTTACAGCAATCAGAAGGGTGAGTCCCAAACCTAATTCTGAACTTCACTCCAACTCTTAAAGCTCCTTTCACATGAGCGAAAACTTTAAATCCAATAAAAACTCACAGTTTAAATCCAATAAAAACTCAGCATGGAGCTAAGCCAGGATGGCTCCAGGCCTGTGCTTTATGGGTGGTTATCTTCCATGCCCAGGCCAGCCCACCCACCCTGCCTGAAGGCTGGAGCTGATGGAGTCCAAGCTTCCTCAGAGATATGTTTGCTTGCTCCTTTCTGTCCACCAGTGCCCGATTCTCCTTCGTTATTGTTACTTCTCGTACACAATCTCTTAAGCCATCTCAGATCCTTTCTTTAAAGGCAGCAGAGGTCAAATGATGCCCATTTAGCTTCTAAAGGGCTTGCTCGAGCCATCCATTCCCAACTCCCAGCTGCCATTTCACCAGGAAACAAAGTATAAACCAGGAGATGCAATTCTTCTACTTGCAGCAGGTGAGATAGGCAGAGTCAGGAAGCATCTGGCTGTGTATAGGGGTAGAAGAAGGAAGGAAGGAAGGAAGGAAGGAAGGAAGGAAGGAAGGAAGGAAGGAGGAGGAGGGTTCAGTGTCTCTGACTTGTTACA